AAGAGAAATCGTTTCTTTACTATTAATAATTATTGTTATTATTTTAGTGTTCTATATGCGTATCGAGCTTCAAAAAATCGGGTACAGATTCATTTGTTAGAAATATTGCTTTAAACATATAAAAATTGAGTAATTGTAAAGAATAACAAAAAATTTTTTTTTAACAGACACACGCATTTGGGCTAAAATTAATGACAGATTTCTTGTTATTTTGTCATAAGAAATAACTGTAAAAATTTTGAGAAAAATCGGCGTCTGACATTTCTTAAGGTTTACTTGTTAGAATTAACCCATTAAATTTATAAAATTTAGAATAATTCAGTGATTTAGATTTATTGATTATTTATAAGTGTTATATTTTTTCATAAATAGTTGAAAAAACAAAATAAAGATTCATTCATTTATTCATTCCCCTTTTCACTCCCCCTGCTTCTCTCTCTCTCTCACTCTCTCTCTCTCTCTTTCTCTATCATCTACAAAGTTTCTTTCAACTACTACAGCATTGAGATTCTTCGTCTCGCCTAATTTACAAAGTCACGAGCTAGAATTTGACTGAAAGCAAGTTTTTCCACTTTCTATATTCTCTATTAATCGATTCACGATATTGTACTCGTGTACATAGACAATTGAAAAGTGCATGAATTTTATGTACAAAAGAATCTAATTTATACCGTTGGACGTTAACGGTAATTCAAGAGTAAAATCGTACTCACCTGACATTGATCGGTTGCATCGAATGCTCTTGCTGTAAATAGAGCTGTTGCTGATATCCATTAGTGTCCAGATTGAGACCATCCGACGATTGTTGCATACTGCTCCCTTGAATCATCTATAATAATTTAATATAAGTAAAGAGAACGCAAATAAGTAAATTCCTATATAACAAATTGCATAATTCATAAAAAAATTTGTAGCTGCAATTAGATCTTTTTTTTTACTTTTTGTTTTAAATACGCAGACCAAAAAAATAATACGTAGCCACATCGCGAATATTCAAATTATTTATTTTTTCCCACATAAATATAATATCATATATAAAAAATTCGTTAAGAATAATGTCATGCTATGAAATAATATTACATGATAATATTATTTCCCTTTTCTCTCTGCTAAAGATCATTAATTTCTACTGCGCGTTCTCTTTATTTCTTTATTTCGAGGTTGAAACGAGACGGAGAAAATAATGAGCATGCGTTTAAAAATAATATCTTGAATGTTACATGAATTATGCTCAAATACGGAAGTTGTTAAATGGCTGATAAATCGTTCTGATATCATTCTTTTATTTTTCTTTACCACTCAATGCGCGCGCGAGGGCGTGTGTGCGCGTGCGTGTGTGTACATACATGCGTATACTATTATGTATTGTTAAGGCTTCTGACTACTCAGCCAAGAATTCTGCGTTGATGGTAGCGACACAGAATCAGACGGCGGTCTGACGAAACCGGTAGTCATACATTCAAGCACGAGCCCATGTATGTGTGCTCGTCTTCGGCGCGGGCGCGCCGCGAGTGAAGAGAGCGAACGGGACAGCGAACTCCTTCTCATACTAGACGCTTGTTTCAAGCAACCGAAAATGCTTCCTCGGCAATCTTGACCGCTCGACGGCCCTCGGCATCAATAAGGAACGAGAGGCATTCTAAATAATATATATAAGTTCTAATAAATTGTAGTAATAATATACCCCTCTCATTAATCCAAAATAGTATAAATCATGTTAAAACGCAACAGTTTATAAGATATTTAATTGTTTACAATTTTTCATGCGCGTTATATACCTCCTTCATAAACTCGAGTAGCAAGAATAGTTCAGTAGAAGTAGAATTTTACCAGAAAAAAATTATAAATCAGAATTCCTCTTCACGAAAATCTTCGAAAGGCTATCAAAAAAAGAAATGCGTATATTTGAGACTCGAAACTTAAATTTCATATATTTATTGTCCAATTGAACATTTTTTATAGCATATTAAATGAAGAAACATAGCAGAAAATTACTGTCCGGGGCGGAACCTAATCTTCCAGCTTGGCGACACATCTGAAGTTGGCTACTGTCAGTTCATGTGTTTATGGCATAGTGGAAGGGATAACATGGTGTGTACAGTTTGCAAGCATCTCTCTCTGAATTTCCGACCTCTTTGTCTATGGATGTTGCTAAGAGCTAATGTTTCTTTCCTTGCTTGACACACATCATAATGTATCTTATATAGGTTCTCTTTCTATAGAAAGAGAAACAGTAGATATACTGGGCCGGTTCTAACCCATGGGGCTAG